AAGGCTTGATTGAGTACATACTTGAGTTGCGCTGCAAAGGATTGTGTGGATTTGGGCAGGTAGATTCAGGAAGAAGTATGTTCTGGGTGGAGAGATTAATTATGTAGATTTTGCTTATATAGATATATTGTATTAGTCTTTGAATTATTCATGTGAGGTAGAAGTTATATTTATTCAATACTAGGCACTATTGAGGATATTAAAGTTCATAAGTACTATTTGTGCACTTAAAGAACTTATATTGTAAGTCACATTTTTCTGAGTATTTTTGAAATGGTATAACATGAGATATTATATAAATAATATGGCAGAGCTTCAAGAAATTTCTTTAGCTGAATAAATTTATATTTTAGGATATGTTTTAAATATGAGATTATCCTTAGGGCTTCTACTTTCTTTTGTTTCCTTCCCTTTTTATGCAAGAGACCAGTAAGTCAAATGCTATTTAATTTAGGTAATATACTTTTTCTTTTAATAGTTTGCTAAATAAAGAGACAGTTTTATATTTTATTTGTAAAAGAATAAGGCTTCATTCCATTTGTCACCATTATATTTGTGTCACCTTGCTGAATCAAGGCCTGATAAGAGGCTGAATTCACAGAAGTCCGTCCTTGAACCTCGTAAGTCTATCTCAGCAGTAATTTCTGATGCCAGCAATACTCCTCAGCTGAGTGATGAGTCTACTGGGAGTGGAGATTCTATTAAAATTCTTGACTTTGAAAAATACTATAGTTCACGTTCTCAGGAAATACTTTAGATCCTGACAGTCTTCTCTTTTGGATTTTGTAGAAAGACATTGCTGTTTCCCTGACAGTGGACCATTGTTTTTATCTGAATTCTTTTATCTTTTATTGGCAGTCTATGAATTCAAGCTATGACCGAGATAATTATGCTAGTACATTTCATTGTAACTATTTATTTTAAAGAGTAATTTAATATAAGGAAGTTCTTCTTAGATTGTACCTAATAATGGCATAAACTTGGAGGTTAACACTATATTTAGACTCTTCTCACTCTATATTCTCTCTCCAGGTGACCACATTCATATTCATGCCTTTACCTTTTACTTATGTGGTAATGACTTCCAAATCTATATCCCTTACAGAGGTTTCTGGGCAAACCTCTGTTACTGCATATACTCTTTACTGTTCTGTAATTACTGATTTACTTGCCTGTCTCTGACTAGTTTGTAAGGTCCTTGAGGGCAGGGACGGCATTCGGCATTCTTCTGGCAGCCAGATGTAATGCACAAGCAGATTATTTTAATTCTGTTGATGCTTGGTTTTAGGTTTTGTTAGTGATGTTCTATTTCAGGTTTGCTTTTCTAGAATGTGACCCTTTTGGGGTTTCAATTTAAGCCTGAGGTATATTCCTGGGCAGTTCTACCTTGGCTGGCCTTGAACTCCAACCTCTCTTCCCAGCACCAAGCAGCTGGCTGCTGAAGTGTCTACTCAGCTCTTGGCTTCCCGGCTGTTGCTCTCTGCTAGGTTTTTGAAATCTCTTTCTATATTTGCCCCATTGAGGGCTGGTAAACTCCTCCAGGGCAGGTTATGCATGGATTTTTGGGCTCACTTCCATGTGGTTGCCTCGTCTTTGAGCTGTATTGCCCTCAAGTCCTAGATGCTTTGACATGCTCAGAATGCAGCCTCTGTCTCCTTAGCCCATTTGGTTGCTTGCTGTTCCCCTATGCTGTGAATTGACATTTATCATTAAAAGAAAAAGCCAGGGTGAATGTGGAGCTCACCTTGTTCAGTTTCCTTTCTCTTAGGGATCGTAAGTTTCTGCCATCAAGTTCTGTCTGTATCGGTTGTTCTCCAGTGCTTTTTAACAGTTGTTTTATGTATTTCTGTCTTTTATATTGATTTTGGTGAGAGACTGAATCTGATATAAGGTATTTAATCATGGCTGGCCTGAAGCCTGTATGCATGCATTTAAAAAAAAGTTTGTTATTTTGTTTGTTTATTTTTATTGAGGTCAAATTCACATAACAAAATCAACTATTCAAAGTATACAATTCAGTGGCATTTAGTACATTCACAATGTTGTGTGTGCATCACATTTTTAAGTTATTTAAATGATAGTACACTATAGCTCTTGTTCTTTGTCTCATTTTCACCTAACAGTATGTTTTAAGAATTTTTCCGTATTACTTTTGTATTTATTACTTTTAATAGCTGCACAGTATGCATTTCACTTATCCGTTCTTCTTGTAATGGACACTACTTTCTCTCCAACTCTCCACTACCTAGACTATGTTGCAGTTAATAAAAATTTATTCTTGATTTCATTTTCCTCAAACAAGTGGATTAGGTAGGGGCCTCTTATGGAAATTTGATTCCCAAAATTTCTAGTTTGATTTATTATCTGAGATCTGCTGGAGGAATCGACTCTTTGAAAATCATGGGCTTTTGGAACCATTCTGGTCCTTAAAGCTCTCCCCCCACATCTGTTTTGGCGTCAGTCTAATTTCTTGAGCAAATCTAAACATCTCTGAACACTGTGCATTTTGCCAGATAAAGATTTGGTAGCACTCCCCATTCCACCTCTTAGTGTCTCAGTTCCTTGTATATAAATATACATATGGAAAAAATGAGATGATAGAGATTTTCTACAGTCCCTCCTAGGGGCAGTATTCTGTAATTCCCTGAAAGTCTGTGACCAGATAATGATAGAATGCAGTGTATTTAGTGACTGGACTCAAAACCTGGGTGTTCTAAACTATTTTTCCACTTATTAGCTCTGTGACTTTAGGCAAGTTACTTAACCTGTCAGAGCCTCGTTTCCTCATCTCTGTGATGAGAGTAATAATAGAGTAGCTGTTGGATTAAAGTTAAAAACAATAAGGTGATGTAGAACACTTAACACAGTTCTGGTGTATGTTAAGTGCATAGTAATAGCTGTTATTGGTTGTTTGGTGCAGACTGTAGATGATATTTTATCTTTCTATTGCCTTTGAATACTAAATGTATTTTTGTGGTTATACTGCTCATTTGGCACCCAAAAATATGGTACCTTGTACCATTATTATTGTTAATGAGTTATGTTCTTTTCCATTAATTAAGTATAAGCTTGTAGAGAACAGAGATTTCCTAGATCCTAGCTTAGTTTGCTTCTCCTGAAGATCAAATTAAGAATGCATTTTAGCCCAGAAATAAACCCATACATATATGGTAAAATTAATTTACTACAAAGGACCCAAGAATATACAATGAGAAGGGGTAGTCTCTTCAATAAATTGTGTTGGGAAAACTGGACAGCCACATGCAAAAGAATGAAAATGGACCACTATCTTACATCATACACAAAAATTAACTCTAAGTGGATTAAAGACGTGAATGTAAGACCTGAAACCATAAAACTCCTAGAAGAAAACATTGTGGTAATGTCTTGGTGAGGATTTTTTGGATCTGATACCAAAAGCACAGGCAACAAAAGCAAAAATGAACAAGTGGGACTACATCAAACTAAAAAGCTCTGAACAGCAAAGGAAAATGCAACCTACTGAATGGGAGAAAATATTTGCAAATCATATATCTGATGAGTTCAAAATATATAAAGAACTCATACAACTCAATAGCACAAAACAATCTGATTAAAAAATGAGCAGATCTGAATAGACATTTTTCCAAAGAAGATGTACAGATGGCCAACAGGTACATGAAAAGATGTTCGACATCACTAATCATCAGAGACCACACAAATCAAAACCACAATGAGGGGCCGGCCCTGTGGCGTAGCGGTTAAGTGTGCGTGCTCCGCTGCTGGCAGCCCGGGTTTGGATCCCGGGCACGCACCGATGCACCGCTTGTCGGGCCATGCTGTGGCGGCATCCCATATAAAGTAGAGGAAGACGGGCACAGATGTTAGCCCAGAGCCAGTCTTCCTCAGCAAAATAGAGGAGGATTGGCATGGATGTTAGCTCAGGGCTGATCTTCCTCACACACACACACACACACAAAAAAACCACAATGCGATATCACCTTATATCTGTCAGAATGGCTATTATCAAAAAGACAAGAAATAAGTTTTGACAAGCATGTGGAGAAAGGGAACCCTTCTGTGCTGTTGGTGGGAATGTAAATTGGTGCAACCACTGTGGAAAACACTATGGAATTCCTCAAAAAATTAAAAATAGAACTACCATATTACCCAGCAATTCCACTTCTAGGTATTTATCTGAAAAAAATGAAAACACTAACTCGAAAAGGTATATGCACCCCTATGTTCATTGCAGCATCATCATTTACAATAGCTAAGATATGGAAACAACCTAAGTGTCCATTGATGGATGAGTGGATAAACATGTGGTTATCTATCTATCTGTCTATCTGTCTATCATCTATCCAATGGAATATTATTTAGCCATGAAAAGAATGAAATCTTGCCGTTTGTGACAACATGGACAGAGCTTGGAGGCATTATGCTAAGCGAAATAAGTCAGATGGAGAAAGGCAAATACCATATGATTTCACATGTATGTGGAATCCAAAACAAACAAACAAAAAACTAAGTTCATAGATACAGAGAACAGATTGGTGGTTGCCAGAGGTGGGGGTGAAGGGTTGGGTGGGGGGTGGGGTAATGGATGAAGAGTCAAAAGGTATAAACTTCCAGTCGTAAAATAAAGTCATTGGGATGTAATGTACAGCACGATGACTATAGTTAATAGTGTATTGTGTATTTGAAAGTTGCTAAGAGAATAGTTCTTAAAAGTTCTCATCACAGGAAAAAAAAATTTATAACTATGTATCGTGACCTATTGTGGTGATCATTTTGCAATATATACAAATATTGAATCATTGTGTTGTACACCTGAAACTAATATAATGTTATATGTCAATTGTACCTCAATAAAAATATATATTTTTTTAATTTAAAAAAAGTGGGGAAAAAAGAATGCATTTTGAATCTTTTTCTTGTTTTATTTACTTTCTCCTCTCAGTTTTGAGAAACAGAAAACATTTGTATTTAAATTCAAAATTAAACTTTTTTTTTTCCAGATAACCATGATGATTACAGAGACTCCTACTGTGTCTTTTGCTCCTTTTGAGGATACATTGAGTCGGATGCTGTTTGGCTGGCAGCAGCAGTTTTCATCATGTGAAAAGAAAAGTGAAACAAAATCATCTTTTAATGGTACTGGTTCATCGACCTCAAAACCTATAGCTGATGCTTCAGATAAAATTAAAAAGAAACATATTAAGAAGACTGAGTAAATTTACTTGATGAGCTCTAGAAGGCAAAAAAAGTTTTTCTTATTATCTGCCTTTCAGATTGTGATAAATATTTCTATGTAAATGATATGAAATAAAGATTGTATATAAGGAATGGAGGTGACAAAAAGAAAACTTGTTTCTGTTTCAGGGAGACTACCCCATTCTGGATTGTAATTCTTGAGTGTTATGAGTGTATCATGTGAAATTGTTTTTCTAAGTTATATATAAAAGATTCTATTGCGATTAATAGTTTTAGATTGATAAAAGGCTAGATACTTGTTAATGTTAGAAAAAGTAAACTTACTATCATTGTAAAATAACAAAAATTAAAGCTTTTTTGTTTTCTTCAGGTATTTTCATACATATTTTTTATTTAAATCTATTTGAGCTTTAGTTCAGCAAAATTAAACTTTTACTTCACATTACCCTTATAGTTCCTAGATATGGAAAACAATTCCTATTTAATTTTGAGCACTGGGAAAAGTAAACTTAACCTAAATCACTTTACATTATGAGTGAAAATAAATTACTAGTTTATATTTCAGATATAAACATTGTATTTTTTACCCACATTAAATGGAAAATATCTGAAATTTTATTTAAAATTTTTTTAGTAGTGTTTTTCAATGAGAACAGAATATTAGTGTAAGTCTCAATCTGAAGTCTATTTCATGTCTTTGTTTATACTGTTTCTTTTTTCTCAAAAGAATATCAGGGGTGTAATTTTTAATAAATCCCTAAACCCATGTTTTGCTTTGTAAGTTTTCATTTTAGGAGCTTATTTTTTTGTCTCTTCTTAAAACACATTCATTTTGACTCTAGGAGAAATTATTCTTCTCAGCATTTCATATGTTCTTAACTTCTTTGTGATCTTAGATGATCTGGATACATTGATGGTAGTATCATCTTAAGGATTCAACAAAAGTGTTATTTCAATTTAAAAACTTCCCCTCTATGTCTCCTTTCTAATTGAATTCCTTCATTCTCTAGTTGAATGTCTCTTGCTAGTTTGCATATGTTTATGTTATATTTTAATCTATGTGTACATATGTTACTAATTTTATTTTAAATTGAAACTAATTACCCTTATGAAAATGCTCAGCTCTGATGAGAATTGTCCTTCGGCATTCGATAGTAACCAGCTAACCAAGAAGAAACAGAAACTAAAATCTCATATGGTAGTCCATTTGAATGAAGAATGATGACATTAAATCTGATTCCTTATTGGCAAAAAAACACAAAAAAACAAAGAGGTACTAAATAATGTTAATTTTTCTTGGTTTATTTTATAGTTTAAAAGTCCAGTTTTAGTTTTAAAACGCTGTGACTGACATGATTTCTTCTACCAAGACCATAAACCTGCTACCTGCAAAGAGTTAGTTATGTTTCAGGCATTTTGGGATGGCTTAGAAGTACTCAAATCACATTCAAGTTAGAAGTTTTTGGTTTTTAAAAATTTTTAACAAATACAAACACCAGCAGGTACTATACTTTTACTTGTTAAAAGAAAAGAGATTTTGGTGGGGAGGACCTTTGATAGCCTCGGGATGCTAAGAAGTTTATTTTTAATATTGTGACAAAAAGTGTTAAATATTTAAGAGTTCTGTATTATATTTGATACTCTTGTGGTTAAAAACCTGTCAAAATTTACATGTTACTAATTATTGACTTGGTTTTGAAGTTTGGGTTTAACTATAGTTGAAATGATAGGAGTCTTGTTTTACACTTGTATTAAAGACAAATTTATTAAAATAAGTTATTTAGCACCAATGGAGTGTTACATTATTTTAATGATTTTTCTTTTCTATTTTGGCATTTTGACTGATAGATATCCAATGATTACTGTTCAGATTGGACACTGGTACAAACTTTATTAATCTAAGCAAGCATCCTATAACCTTCAATTCAAGGTTCTTAGGAAAAAGCTCTACTGGAGAACACGGCTTAGACTTGAACCTCCCACCCTGAATCTACACATGCTGCCTACAGACTACTAGATTTGCGAAGCAGATTGTCCTCACCCAACATGTAGCATGAAGGAGGCCTGTGGGCCTGCTTCACACAGTCATAAGTGGCACTGAGAGAGTCAAGACCTGATAGATCTCCTTAAGTAGAAGGAGACAAGAAGCTGGCAAGAACATGGGCTGGCTTGACTCAGTGATCTCACCCTCTAGTAAAATGTGGCCAAATAAATATCAAACTCTGATTTTTCAGATTAGTCACTCTTCCTTACTGAAGGAGTAAGGGTTGGAGAGGGACCAGATAAGTGGAGTGGTAGATTTCAGTGGAAATTCCAGCTTCCCTGTAGGCAGAGACCAAAAAGTGGAGAGATGAGAGAAGAGGGGAGACATTATCGTCTCTTTATTGTATTTTTTTTCTGTTCCTTTAAGGCCAGACACCATTCCATTAAAATCTACCTCAAAGCACAAGTTGATTGCAATTGAGTGATATGTTGGAAATGGAATAATGTGTTCAAGAATGCTTTCCCTCCTCCTACTGCTCTCTTGGAGTTTACATTCCGCTGGTGGAGAGACATTAATAAAATTTGTTCTTGTGATACTAAAGGTTATGAATAAATATTAAGCAGGACTCATGGATAGAAAGTAAGAGGGTGTTTGTTAAAATAGGATTGTTAGAGAAGGCTTTCTGTTAAAATTGTATTTTAGCAGAGACCTGAGGATGTGAGGGAGCAGGCCAGGCAGACATCTGGATAAGTGCAAGGGTCATGCTGTTTCTTCATATACTTGGGTTAGATTATATATTTTTTTCAAAAATTTTTGGATTTATTTTTCTTATAAGTACAATTTCACTCTTGTAGTTTTTAACAGACATGTTTCTTTAATAGAATTTATTTTTTTTTTTACAATTTTTTTTCTCTTTTGAGGTAAAATCTGCATACAATGCAGTGCATAAATTGTAAGTGTACATTTAAAAAGTTTTGACAAATACATAAAACAATATAGCCTAAACAAACTCCTATCAATATAAAGAACATTACCAGCACCTTAGGAAGTTTTTTTCCACTTAATCCACCCTTTCCCCCCGAAATTGAATATAAATAGAATCATGCAATATATTCTCTTTTGCATAAGACTTCTCTCAAACTCAGCATAATGTTTTGAAATTCATTCATCTTGTTGCATTTATGTTGCATCTTTTTAATTGCTTAGTAGCATTCTGCTATATAAATATGACAGATTTTGTTTATCGTATTGCACATCAAGGCTGTTTCTAGCCTGGGATGTTCTGAATAAGCTACCGTGAACATTTTTGTACAAGTCTTTTGGTGAGCATGTTTTTATTTCTTTTGGGCAAATACCTAGGAATAGAATTACGTTTAGTTTTATAAAAACTGCTAGGCCTTTTTTCCACAGTGGTTGTACCATTTTATACTCCACAACAATGTATGAGAGTTGCAGTTGCTCTACATCCTTACCAAGGATTAGCGTTGTCAAACACTTAAATTTTGTCCATTTGCAGTGGGTGGTTTGTGGGTTTTATGGTTTTAATTTACATTTCCCTGATGATTAATGTCTTTTTTTGGTGTGCTTATTGGCCATTTGTGAAGTGTCTGTTCAGACCTTTTGCCCATATTTTGTTGTATTTGTCTCTTTATTATTAAGTTGTAGGAGTTCTTTATATATTGTGGATATTGATTCTTTGTCAAATATGTATTTTGCACATATTTATAATCTGTGGCTTACCTACTCATAGTGATGTCTTTTAATGAGCAGAAGTTTTTAATTTTGAAGAAGTCTAATTTCCCAGTATTTTATTTTATAGTTATTATTTTCTGTGTCATAAGAAACTTTTGCCTACCTCCAAGTCATGAAGATGTTTGCCCATCTCAGGAACCCAAATAAAGGAGTGCCAAGCTTTTATTCTGAGAAGTGGTTAGAAGAGAAACACTTTATGCTATTATATAAAGTAATAATTCTGTTACTCAGCAAGTCACTCGGCCCTAATTTTTGGTTCTGCTTCTTGAAAATCATTGTGCACTTTACTTATGTGGTCACTTTTTCTGTCCTTGTGCTACAGGTTATGCATTACAGGAATTTAGGACTTTTGTGTATATGTCTAGGGACTTTCTGTGGGCAGCTTTGAACTTGCTTCATCACAACTCTGATATTTAGAAGAGATGGTGAGTAAGAATGTGATAATAGAAAATATTTTAAGAATGAAATAAAAAGTCCCCTAAACTCAGTGTAGATATGGGATTAGTTGGGGAGGTAGTGGTCCATATTGCAATAGATAATCTAAATGCATATTTGTGGTGACAGAATGTGGACCAATGATCTGGTATGAAAATCAGTAGACCTTAGATCAATTTACATGGCAGACTGTCAGATCCATGACAATACAAAATTATGTGGCACACATATCTAAAATGAGAACTGTTACTTTCTTCTACATTTAATAAAGAGATTTAAGATTTAATTGGGATCACGAAAAAATTAAGCAGTTCATATGGTAGAATTTTTATCAGCAAACAATGGTTTGGTGGGATCACGAAAAAATTAAGCAGTTCATATGGTAGAATTTTTATCAGCAAACAATGGCCGCAAACAACTCCTGCCAGACAAATTTAGTAACTTCGGGTGTATTTTTACCCCCGTAGAATTGGAGTAATCACGCAAAGTTTGACATAAAAATTCAGTCTAATCTCTATAAAATAGCCTACAGACAGAAACCTTCCTTGAGAATAATACAAAATAAAATAAATCTGCTACAGTGGCTTATAAACAGCATTGTTATATTTGACATCTTAATGACCTGTGAGAGGAAGTGCATAGCATCTTAATTAAATTTGCAAAGGACATTAGGTGTTATGAAAGCCTATGATGACAGGAAAAATTCAAAGGACTAATTTATGCTTGGAAAATGATTCAGCTTAAAACACGTAAGTGTATAGCAGGGAAGAATTATATAAGACCCAAGCCTAAAGAAATATACGTGAATTTTGTAATAAACGTGGAGTAACAAAAATTAATGAAACATTAACATGTTGTAGTCTTTATTTTGAGCAGCCTGACATTTTGGGGATTATATTGAGGAAAAGAGAAAAATTCACGTTAGAGGACAAGTAACAGTCTTTGCCACGATTGTTTACCTTAAAGGACTGTTTTGAAAATAAGATAATGTATGTGAAATGTTTTTAAAACATTATTTCACAGAGAAGAGTCTAGTTAATTTATGGATAAAACCAGAGTTCTACATAGTTTGGAGTACAATTAATGTGCCCCAGTCATTTCCCACGTATAATACTTGAATCCCACAAGCCAGTAAGACAGGAAGTTCAGAAGTCCATTTTCCTCACTGCACTGTTACTATCTTATAGTACTGTTGTTATGATGCTGTGGTGATGTAATGGTATCATGGAGGAGCTGAGTCGCTCTGTAGATGGCATTCTGACTCATGCGTTTAAACAATTCTATCATTTCTATCACTGCACTACTATGCCAATTATCACATTCACGTACTATGTCTGATCTTTCATATTCTCAGAAGTCCTCAAAAGCTCACGTTATCCTTCCCTGTGATTGC